AAAACATAGAAGGAGAGATAAGGTCTGCGGACGCCGACAGCTACCTCGTTGTCTCCGGTACTCGATCGCGCACGAACTTAATGACCTCCCTGATCAAATACACCTAGATCTGCACATAAAGTGTAGGGTGTAGCATGAGTACAGCCAACTCAGCAAGTAATAGAAATAAATAAGGAACTGAGAAGGTAGTGACGAGCTATACAAATACAATTCAATTTCAATAATTCTAGCAAAGAATAGACATGCTTTCAAATCCGGCAATTTAAGTCAAATCAGTTTTATACAGTTAAAGTGCAGGTACTCTGGATATAGAATCTTTCAGAAATTTCACAACAGTGACAGATAGCAACTAAGTGCATCAACATATGAAAAGCAAGTACCGCCTCTCAGGGCAACAATCACTCAACTCGTCACAACAGCTCAATCACTTGGCTCTCAGCCCTCAGTACTCACACTTAATAGGTACCTGCGCTCACCGGAGGTGTGCAGACTTTGGAGGGGCTCCTTTCAGCCCAAGCGCTATATCCGCACGGACAACTCAAGTGCTATAGTATCAATATGTGGATCTGCACAGACAACTCACATGCTGCACGGATAACTCACGTGCCATAGTATCAATCCTCACAGACGGACCCTCAACCTCACTCAGTCATCAACCTCCCTAGTCTCTCGGGCTCTCGGAAATCACAAAGATCGGCCCAAACAAAGATAGCATAGTGTATCAACAAGAATCAAGAAGAGGCTGAGATATGATACGCAAGTAAAACCATGACTGAGTACAAGACAATAATTAGTAAGTAATTCAACAAGTATGCGACCTCTGCGGGTCCCAACAGTACCATCACATAGCCTAAGCATAATTTCTAACATGATTTGCAGTTAAATTTCTATAACACATGGAGAGCATATAGCTAGCAATAAGTTATTCAACATTACAGTTTCATGGAATGGACCAAGTCCCAATTCATACGGTGCACGCCCACATGCCCGTCCCCTAGCATGTGCGTCACCTCCAAAATACTCACATAATCCAATACTCCGGGGTTTCATACCCTCAAGACCATATTTAAAACTGTTACTTACCTCAAATAGCGCAAAATCCTACTCCGCAATGCCTTTGCCCCTCGAATCAATCTTCAAACATCCTGAATCTAGCCACAAGCAGTACAATATAATCAATATAGGCTAAAGGAATCAATTCCACAAGAAAAACGTGAAAGTATAAGCCAAAATCCGAAATAGGCTCAAACCGGCCCCCGGGCCCATGTCTCGAAATTCGACAAAAGTCACAAAATGTGAACACCCATCCACTCACGAGTCCACCATACAAGAATTACTCGAATCCAACCTCAAATCACCTTCCAAAACTCGAAATTTTAGCCTATGACGTTTCTACCATTTTCCCCAAAATTTACAACTCAAATCCCTAATTAGATGATGAAAATAGCTATAGATTCATGAAATATAGTCCAATCCAAGTTAGAATCACTTACCCCAAAAATCTTCTTGAAGAAACCTCAAAACATTGCCTCACACCGAGCTCTCAAAGTCCCAAAATTGAAATGGAAATCAAACCCTCGAAATCCCATTTTTCTGCCCATTTTTTCCGCATCTGCGGGCATACCGTCACACCTGCGACACCGCACCTAC